CACAGACCCCAACACGCCCTCTCGACGTGCACACACCATATTTGATCACAAAGGCAGAGAAGAACAGGATGGGAAGCCTTGCTTGTCACATCTACTGGGCTGTAGAATGTGGCTGAGCCTAATAGAGATGTTGCTGGGCTGTCGCCCTGGGGCCAGGCCTGTCACCCTGGGCCACCCCCTCTCCCTCAGCCACTGCCCATCCCAGTTAATAGCCAGGGACTCACTTTCTCTCACACAGCACTTAACACAAAGGATGCCTTGACTTAGCAGTGGCCTTAAGTGCCACAACAATACCACTAATAAGCAAGGTTACAATTTTACCGCCGAGACTGTATTATTATGTAGCATTATACCTTTGAACGTGCCTATTCTCATTTCTAGTAAAGGGCTCAACTCGGTGCTCCCTGTTATAAATCATATGCTAATTATAAGTATAATCTGAAGAGCTTTTCCTTTTATTTTAAAATGGATGTATAGGGCATAAGCTTTGTCATGATGCTGTGCTGCTACTTGGCCTGAAGTGCCTTTATCCTCCATACAGCTCTACACGTGGAACATCAGCAAAACACAGTTCAGCCACTAACAGAGTTAGCAGAAATTGCTCATACCACAGGATCACACAAATAGTGCCATCGCTACTGCTAGTCACTGAATGCCAGGCCATCCTGCCACATGGAACTTTAAGAAACTGCCCATTAGGATGAAAGTTCCCATTCATGCTGTCAGCCTACTGTTGAAAAATACCTAGTCAAAATGGAAACTGGACACGTAGCTAAATGTTAGTTTTCAGTAGCGCCTCAGAAGCAGATTGACAAAAAGCTGACACTTGGAAAAACTCAAACACCATGAACCAGATTCTAGATTCTGCCAGGTCCCAGCTCCCCACGGGGCTCAGCATCACCTGAGAAGCACCTGGCAGCTTAAGCCCTGTGTGAGTCACTTGTGTCTTTTCACTGGCAGCCCCCAGGAAACTGCTCCAAAGACAAAGGAGGTATTTCTGGCAGTGCCCTTCTGCTCTGGTGGATTTCTCCAAGTATCAATGAGTGGGTGGGAATGGGAATGGGACCCATTTTGTTTCCCGCTAGCAACAAGCTCCATTTCAGAAAAGACCAAATTAGTCCCTGTACCAGGACTACCAAAAGCACTGGGCAAGCTGCAAGTCCTGCTGATGGCCCCAGAACAGTGCTGTAAAGGTACTCTGGTGGTGATCATACAGCACAGACTCCATCACTAAATTGCTTGCAACTCTACCTGAAGGCCAAATGCAACACAGTGACACGGTCCCCTGCTTCCTCAGTTTGCAGCAGCTTCCCTGCACTACCACATGTGTCACAGCTGAACCAAGGTCCTCCTGTTTCTCATCCCCTCCCTAGCACTGGGCCCCTGCCTTTGCTCACTCGATGCTTGCAGGAAAAATGAGGTGGAAGTGAGCAAACAGAAAGGAGGGCTGTGTTTTTCTTTTCATGTTTTAATTGATTGTGGGGGATATTTTGTGTGTTCGTTGCTTGGAGATTTTTTTTAACATCAAGTAGGGAGGTTGCATACAAAACCTGAAAACCTCGTGACCGTGATCTTGCAGGCAGGAATTGATCTTGCATTGGCAGGAATTACACGATTCCCTCTCAAGACTCAAATTAAGGTTCAGTGTTCCCCTTCACTTGCTGAAGACAGAGTTAAAAATGAACTCTTAAATCTGACAGGGCCTCTGATGAACTGCATCATCTCCTAAACATCCCATTCCATCTTCCTGGTCGAAGACAAACCCCAGCAGCTCTGCTCAGCCCTTCTCACCTCTTACAGCTTTCAGCCCCCTCCTCCCTTTCCAGCCCTACTCTGAGGAGCCGATCATTACCCTTTTCCCTGTGGATAGTCCATCACAAGCTATTTTTATTCTCCCTCTCTGCAATTCCCTGACTAACTTCCCCATGCCAAAATATCGCTAAAAGTCATCAACCTTCAGCAAGGCCAACAGATGAATCAAACCTGCTGCCAGGTCATTTAGGAGATGAGCCAGTATAGCGTTCAGAACATTTTTCTAATGTCCGTAGCAGGGGAGTATTTAAATGCCATGGCTTTAAAAACTCATACTCAAACTTCCCAGAATAATTCCATTCTAACAAGCTGTAGATGAAGCTCCAGAGGAGTGGCTTCCTTCAGGAACATTAGGGCTTACAATAGGAAAATATTTTTCTCCCCTTCATAGATGAGTCCATCCGCCCATTCTTCCGCCTACCAGTGCAACAGCAAATATAAATGGGCAAGGCCCCCGAGGAGCAGATGCACTGAGAATACCTTGTCTTCCATGCCACGCTGAATGTTCCGCACCACAATTTGGAGGAACAGAATGTTTTTACTAATATTATCATTATGTACATTGCCTTCAATTCTCTCCAACTGCATACCATTTTCATTCCCTCCTACATTTTCCTTTCAAGCTAGAGGCAGGAGATACTGTGCACTGGTAAACTGCTGCTGCATGCTCGCTCTGAAGTAGATGTGTAACAAAGATATAAGAGGTGATACGATTTCTGTACAGAAATCTCTTACCTATCTCTCTGTGGAAGTAAAGATCTGCTCAGGGCACGGTCAGAACAGACCATCTAATAGTTTTTCCCTATCTAGCTCTTCCCCTTGTGTTGTCACCAGTGGGTCTGTAGGCACTGAGAGCGAGATGCTGGGAGTTTTCCAAACACAAGGCTGTCATGATGAGTTATGTTTCGGAGCGGCAGGGAAGACGGTGAGGGGGGAGCTAGCAAACAGAGTCTGCCTTTAAAATTGAGGGAATGAAAGTCATTGTGCAGGACCTCAAGGCCGAGGGAACCCTCTCCCTTTGCAGCCTGACATCCCGTCTCCCAGCTGCAGCCCCTCCTCTGAAGCAAGGACCAAAATGTCCCAGAAACATGGGGTTAGTCCCTGGGAAAGGGAGGGAGACAACCTCCCTTCCTCAGAAACAGGAGATGCGCACACCCTGCCAGAGCTGCTTAAAGAGCTTAGTGAGGCAGCCGGGGGAGGTCCATGCTGACCTGTGACAGAAGCATATCCTGCTAGGGGCACCGTGCTACCTGGTGCTGCAGTTTCAGGGCTGGGAGGTGCACAGCTCCCACCAACTGTGCCACTTGGCACACATCTGGCTGACACAGCTGGGTCTCGTTATTCAGATGTTGTATTTTAGTGCCTGACTTAACACTGGCAAGCCACACTCTCTGTGCACACATACGTACCCCAAAACCACTCTCCCAGGCACACTCCCTGTCACCCTGCTTGGCTTGCTGACAGAACTTTTTGCAGGCAACACATGCAGGCAGCGTCCCCACCATCCCTTCAGCTTGTTCTGCTGCAAAAGTAGTTTCAGCACACAGCGTTAAGATAAACTTCAGAGCTCCAAGGCTAAGTGGGAAATGGAAATCCAGTGACCCCTGGCTGGGCAAGTGAGCTTAATGACTTGTCTGCAGCTGTTGTCCCAAACATATGCCAGCAAGCATCTGCCTGACCAAGGCAAAGGATTGATGGAAGGGATTTGCCTTTAAAAAATGGGATGGGTCGGCCAAGAGTTCCACCAGAAAAGGGTTAATGGGATATATGAATTGCTACTGAGTGGAAGGGAGAGGAGCCCGGAGTCAGAGGCAACACCCCTTGTTAGGTGTTTACCATGTCGCCTCTAAACCCCTTCCATCGCGTATGCAAGGCAGATGAATTACTCTGTAAATCCTATTACCCCGTGTGGATAAATCTTACACGCGAGTTAACAAGTCTGGAGAGCTGGGGAATGGAAGCTGTGAACGGATATTCCAGGATCAAAACAAGCCAGCACACGGGGGCTGAGGGAAGCGATACGCAGACACACACATACATCCCTCTCCTAGCATCCTCCGTCCCCGATCCCATCTTGCTGGCTCACACACCCTCTGTCATTAACTGGGAGGGATGCAGGGCACAGGGGATCATGTTGCAGGCTGTTTGGTGGCATCTAGCAGGATTTATTTCAGAGGAAGAGAAAGAAAACTTTGTGTCTGCTGCTCGCTTTGCTAGGGAATTGCTCCCTTGGTGCTTCAGGGTTTGTGCACTATCAGCTCCTCACACAGATTACAGACTTTATTTCACGTTACGTCCAGTAGTTTTATAGCCATAATATACAGCACATGCACACACACAGCATTTTCCTTCAGTAGGGAACCTACTGCAGGTAAGTTGAGCAAGGCAGAATTTGAAAAACAAACCCACAGGAAAGAGATGAGCGGCTTTCAGCTATTTGAGATGCTCTGAACCAAAAGCCTGCGAAGCCACAGAACTACTGCTGGAAAACCCACACGGCAGATAAGGAAATACAGTGCTCAACACTGCCAGCAAAACACAGCTTGGTGTGCAAAGACACCCTCCTCCTCCCAGCTGCTCAGGCACAGCAAACACCCACCCACCGAGCCCTGCGAAGGACCCAGCGCAGTGAATGAGATGTGAGCTGCGGGGACACCAAAGCTCTCCCGCTGTTTATTCTCCATCCTTCCCACTTCTGTATCCATTTGCCCTCCCTTCCGGGCACAGAAAATAAATAAATAAAATGAAAAACCAGAGTTTCCCGCAAGAACTTGCCCGAGAGTTCCCACAGCACCAGGGATAAAGTTTTTGCAACGGTACGACAAGAGGCACGGGATAATCAATGGAACATCTGGCAAGCACAGCTGGATCCCTTTCACTCTCTCCATTGATACCGCTGGGCTGGTGGCGAACGCGCACTGGCGAGAGCAGACTCACACAAACACATCTTTCCCCGCTGAAATTCTTTTGATCCAGAGCACTACGAGAGGCTTTCAAAGGCTTTGCAAATGTTTTGATACGAAGGCACAAACACACACGCGGAGCCTGCTTGCAGCAGCTACCGTTACCGCAGTCGGAGAGGCAAAATAACACTCACAGAGGCACGCACACAGCATTACATCTATGCATCGCAAGCACGGCAGCACAGACACGCATACGGAAAAGGAAAAGTTGGCAGAACGCCCTACCTGAGGATGGCTGTGTCCCCCTGCCTCACGGTGATGTTATCGGTGCCGCGGGTAAAATCCACGCTGCGGACTGGCAGCCCTGTGGGGAGAAGGCAGAGCAATCTCAGTAGGACCAGTGGTAATTGTTTCCGATCAGGCTGAGCCCTCGCTACCATGGCTGGTCTCGGTGAGTTTCGCTGCCTGCACTCGTCTCTCTCTGCGCGTGTATGTGGATGGGTGGATGGATGGATGGATGAAGAAAAACAGTAATAATAATGTACAACTCTCGCTCTGACAGACAGCCCCGGAAAGGGGAGGTGATTTCACAGCCCTCAGCTGCCACTTTCTTGTGCTCTTTTCGGTCTCTCGCCGGCTTCTTCCCCCCCTCCTTCCAAAAAAAGTCTGAGCACAACCTTCAGCGGAGGAAAAGAGAGGGAAAAAAAGAGGAGCGTGCGCGTGTCAGAAAGGCAGATCAAAACGACGCAAAAGTCAGGCGGCAAAACCCAGCAACAATTAAATCAACCCGTCTGGAGCGATGGAGAAGAGATGGAAAAAAAAAAAGAAAAAAGAAAAAAGAAAAGCGCAGCTCCCGTGCCGCCGGCTGCGCGCCTGGCCGGTCCTGCTTCGGTGCGTGGCTGTGCAGCTCCCAGCTCCCTTCCTAACCCACTTTCCCAGGCGGAGCGAGCGAGGGAGGAGGGAGAGGAGGAGGAGGAGGGAGAAGAGGAGGAGGGAGGGAGCCGCACTCGTGAGATGAGGACGGCGGCTCGGCCGCACGGCTGGAGCGAGAGCGGGAAGGGAGCGGCGAGGAGCGGCTGCATCCCCGGCCCCATGCCCTCAGCCCCACTGATCCCCGGGACCGGGCCTCCGCGATGGGACTGGCCGGGGATGCGCGAGTGTGTGTGCGTGAGCGGAGGGAGCCCGGGAAGGGGAAAGGCGATGGCGAGCTGGGAGACTGGGAAGAGGAAGGAGGAAGGATGGGGACAGGAGGGAAACGGAGGATGGAGGCAGGATTGGAGAGAGGAAGGAGGGATGGGGGAGCCGGGAAGGGAGGTGGAGAGGCTGAGGGCAGGCGGGGGTGGCTGCGGGAGGCAAATGGAGGGAGGCCCCAGGAGCGGGGTACGGAGGATGGAGGACGCTACGGTGAACGGTCACAGGAGTAAATACTGAGAGAAGGGGGCTGTGTGTTCAAAGCAGCACGGCCAAAAGTGCAAACAACTTGGCTTTGAGCCCGCCGATACGAGGAGGAGCAATGCTGGCAACTGCCCCTGCAGCCCCAAGCAGCGCTTTTTCCCTTCTCAGACTTTCTCTCCCCAAATAAACAGTGGCACATCGCTCCCTCCGCCTCCCCCCCAGCTCTCCCCGCTCGCTCGGTCCTTCCCTCCCCCCCTCTTTTCCCAGCCTTTGAGGGACGGAGGGCGGACAATGCTGGTATTGAGCTGCCCGCAGTGTGAATGCTCAGCCTGTCCTCCCCGCGTGCCAGCAGCCGCAGCTGAGCCCCGAGCCCTGCAGCAGCGCTGCCCGCCGGGAAAGCTCCCGGAGCACACAGCGGCCCTGCACCGGAGCGAGAGAAAAAAAAAAAAAAAAAAAAAAAAAGGTGAAATTAATGGAGAGGAATAAGCCGTGTGTCTTACTGCTGTCGCCGGCTTGCTGCTTCCCCATCCCGCTCCCCTCCGTGTGAGGGAGGGAGGGAGGGATGGAGAACGGCTCCTAGGAATGCTCGGCCAGCGTAACACTTCTGTGGCCAAAACGGAGGGGAGAGGTAGTTTGAGGACTCCTGGGGACACGGCAGACCCAAATTAGGGAGATGTAAGCCATTCAAATGGAGGCTCAGGATCAGAGCAGAGGTCCAGCTAGCCCTGCATCCTGTTGCTGAGCCAATCACAAGCTCAAGGCGAGAATGCAGTGATTGCCCCTGAGCGTTTCCCCAGTTCCCAATGATCTGTGTCTACGGCATGTCCCAAGCCAGTGGCAATGTCTTTGTAGTTCATGGCCCTCTATTGATTTTCTTCTTCCAGGAATGCATCCAGTCCTCTCTGAACCCCTAGGAACCAACCGCTGCAGTCTCGGTATGGAAAGGCCGTGCTGTCTGTGGGTGCTTAAACAATCTCTGCATGTGTTAAAAGCCCACAAATTAAGGGCTAAGGTCACGACACCACTTCTCCAGTGTCATGCAAGCAGTAGCAAAAGAGATGGCTGCTTTGTATTCAAGCCAAGGGAATGAGCAGATGCAGATAGTTCCCTACAAGAGACTTGGTATGGATGGCAACAGAGAAGGGGAGCAACGAGAAAGAGCTTGGCAGTTCATCCACACACTGAGTGTTTCTGAGCTGCTGCAGAGACACGACTGAAGAAGCCCATGCTGCTGAGCGACTCAGAGCCACTGCCCCATGCACAAGGGATAGAGATGCCATCACTCTGGTGGCATCCCAGGCGTGGTACGATGAGCATCAGGAAGATGCCTATGGGGTCTTGTGACAGTTTGAGTACAAGCCCCATTCCCAGTGAGATAGCACTCCTCTTTGCAAATCAAAACTTTGCATGGATCTATTTTACAAGGGCCTCCCACATATGTTCCATCTACATTTAATAAGAACTATTGTATGTAAATTAAATGCCAGTGGAGTAAGGAAAACATATTTGTCAAAGATTAACTATTATGTAATGCAAGAAGCATCTGCCACCCAACTGCTAGAGCTCACTAAATATTTCCTTATCTCAGAGTATTTACTTAGGAGGCAATAACTATCCAGTTAAATCTAAATTTAATGCTTAGTTAAATATACTTCGTGGAAAGTGACACCAATATGTTTTATATAGACAGTGACAGAGGAGGGTTCAGAGAGGGATAAGGCAGGAATCCTGTCCCCAGACCCCCATAACACCCTGACTTGAGGTGGGACTGCACTTGGCTATGCCTCCCAATAACACAGTTGCATCACAGCAGAATTGGAGACCCCTCTCCACTGGATATGTGCGAATATGAGCAAAGCCTTCATCTTCTCAGACATTTATGCAATCCTCATTAGAACCACTCTAGCATAACTACTTAATAATAATCATCATAATAAACAGAGAGATAAGGATTAAATTCCCCTGAGGGTCTTGTAAACCTTGGGAAAACACTGAAATTTGTCTTATTTGCTTTTAGAGACATACAGAAGTAAAAGGAAGAAGTTGCCTGGGTGTAAAAGTCCAAACAAGCAAGAATCACACAGATCCTAGGAGAAAGCCTCATGAGCAAAATAAATAACGTGGGTTTTTTGGTGTGTGCTCCCGGAAGAAATAACTCTCTAGGCTCATCTCCCCCTGCTGGAAGCTGATAATGAAAGCAGCAGGACTGCCTTCTGACTTTGCTACCTTCTAAAATCTTGAGGGAAAATTCAGGTAAACAATCAGACCAAGTGCACGATGAATGCACATGGCCACTTTTTAATGCCACTTACCAACGCTCGGTAGGTGCAGAACTGTAAGTTCTGGCCTGACGAGCCAAAATTTTTTTAATATGCTGTAGTACAGGAATGGAATGGGCAGCATGAGCCCAGTCCCATAGGTACCACATCACCTTCCTCCATCTGCTTCCGATGGAAAGCCAGCAGAAACTAAAATCATGGACTTCGGACACAAACAGGGATGGACTTTCCTGCATTTGAAGTGTCTAAAGGCTATGAACTGCTCACAGAAGCCTTCAGAGTCTTTCATGACACACATGATTGCTGCAAGGGGACAGCATAACTGCTCTGCAAGTCAAATCCAAGCACCTAGGGACTTTATTTAGGGTATCTACAGTGGTGAGTGAAAACATACGATGTTTTGTGAGCTATGACATGTTTAGTCAAGATACACTGCTGTACTCAGCAGCAGAGCCTACTCAAAGCTTTTCAGCCATGCAGAGAAAATACAGTTGTGTTGCACTGGCAGAGAAGTTACGGAGATGAATGGGGAAGTGGCAAAGGGCTTTCATGTGGAGGAAGATTAAGGAACCGTGTCAGGGCAGTGGTGATCTCTGCTTCCTGTGCCTGCAGATCCTCCTTGCATACATTTCTGCCATGATGGCAAAGGGCTGTATCCATTTAATTAAGCAGCTATGTTCAACTCTCCTTTTCTTTCTGGCCTATGGGGAGCCAAAAGAGTAGAAGAGGAGGAGCAGGAGGAGAAGCAAGACTAAAAGAGAAGGGGAAAAGCTTGTGAATGCAGTAGGTGCATCTACAGGCAAACTGAGGACAAAATGAATTTTGAATGTTAAACACCTTTTTCCTCACACTTAAAGAGAGTTCCTCTAGGCTGCACTTGAACCATTCTTCCAGCTGTACCTGCCAGATACAGTGGATTCCATCTATAGCAGGCCAAAAAGCGTGTTGGAAAGAGAGGACATTTCCATGAGGAAACTGAAAAGAAGAAAATCTGAGGGCAAGATGCTGTCTACCCATCTTCATCCTATGGGGACTGGAGCATTAATGTCACTTACTCATATCCCCAAAGCACTTAGAGAAGACAGGTTATATGGAAACATTCTGCAATATGAGGAAATGTAAGTGCATGATAGCTCAAATACTAGTAATAACACTTTCAGCATGTGCTTTATTTTAAGAAAAACTGGCTTGTTATGACTGTTTTGCAAATCTATAAATCAGTCTGGCTTTTGAATCTGAAAATCAGCAAGCTTAGGCCTGAGACACACACCAGGACATGTATTGTAACTAGAACAAGCTTCCTCTGAACTAAGGACCTCATCAGATAGAAGGATTTAGCACATCAAGAGCAGTCACAGATAGGTCATAACTGTGGATGATAACATGCGCATGCACAACACCTCTAAGTGCGGTCACTGAGCTGTAACATAACCTCCTCCTGTATCAGAGCAGTAGTGATTTTCACCAATTTGTAACCTCTTTACTGTGCCATCGATCTGGCTTCACAACTGATCACTTCCACGTGGACAATTTAGAGGCCAAGATCCAGGTTCTGAGTTGCCCTAAGTTGATATGTCACCCCCACAGCTGAAAAGCTATCCTGATTTCCACCAGCTAAATGTGAGGTCTTGAGTTTGGAAGTTCCTTTGCTTCTGCACTGCCTGGGTTGAAAACTGTTATCATCATTGAAAGAAAAAATCTTGTTCAACTGGCTAAATGGATTTGTACTCATGCTCAGATTCACCCTTAAAGACCAAATCCAAAGCTTAGACAAGAGAACAGCAGCCTTTTCTCAGCAGGATATGATTCAGTGGCATTAAAGAATTAACATCACAACTGGTTTGTGGCCTTAACTACTGGTTGCTACCACAGCAAGTACTTTCAGAACTACAAAGTCATTGGTAAGAGGTCCTTCCTACTTCTGAGGAATGAGAAACTAGGAGAGCTTCCATTTGTGTTAGAAGTTGTTCAGTTAAACCCTACCTGCACACAGAGTCTGCAGACCTACTGGGCAGCAGCCTGCACTGCCCTCCCAAGGCACTCTCCTGTTCATGGCTTAGGAAGCAGGGAGAGAGCAGAGCCCAGCTCCGGCATTTCTCAAAGGGACGCGATGTGTTG